CAAGTTCATTCTTTCCGCAGCTTTCCTGCTCAACAGCGGCGTCAGTTCGTCAWCTACAACAACAAACTTAAGCAAATRTTTGTGCTGAGTGCTGGGATTTGTGACAACGAGCTTTGTTGTTCCTAGWGCTTCTTTTGTGTCATTGTTCCACATTTGCAGAGCGACAGTTGTGGGGGTAACTGGCGCGTTTCCTATTTGGTTGAAMGGTATGACATTGACGGTCGCMYCACAGTCTATTTGCATCTTTACTTTCTTAGATTCAACATACATTTCACACATAATAGCATTCTTGTTTGCGTCACCAACCACCCCATTGACTGTGTGTTGTACTGTGTGTAAGTTTTCAAAGTCCGAGTCTGATTCAGAGTGTTCTATCCCAACCGTGTTGACTTTCTCTTTGCGTTTGCATACATTTGATCCTCGCCAGTGATTTTTTTCTCCGCATACACTGCAGCGTTTTCCCCACGCAGGGCATAACTCCTTGCGGAATGTATGCACGGTGAGGCAGAACTTGCATTTGCCTCCTTGTTGTGGTGCTCTTGGCTTGCGCTGGGGCTTGGGATTGCTTGCCCTCCCCTTTGTATAGTCTACCTTGCACAAAGACGCAAAGTTCTCACTTATTGCTCCAAGTTGGACATTAGCTGATTCGGTTGAGCGACAAATATCAATGCAATATGCTAAGTCTAGTTTTCGTTCTTGCAGAAGGCGCTTTCGAGCGTTGTCATCGCTAATTCCAAGCACTATTTGATCACGGAGTAACGAGTCAGTCAGACATTTGCAAAAATTGCATGTTTTAGATAGGTTTCGTAATTGAGTCAAATACTGTTCAAAGCTCTCACCTGGCTGTTGTGTTCGCTTGTTGAATTGGAATCGTTCATACGTTTCGTWAACTTCACCTGTGAAGTGTTCGTCGAACTTTTTTATGATGGTYTGTAGGTCATTTGTGTCTTCGTCATCACCATATTGAAACGAGTTGTATATTTCCATCGCACTCTGGCCAATTGTACACAGAAATACGGCCTTCTGATAGWCATTGCTTTGCTTGGACAGGTTTGTGACGATTACATAGTTTTCCCACATTTGCTKCCACAGTTTCCACTCTTTTGTAGCGCTTTGGCTTTCAGAAATGTTGAGTTGATTTGGTGGTTTCACGTGAACCGTAGACGCCGAGAACATTCCTGCTTGCGAAGAGTTTGTTGACGATGAAGCGGCGACTTTCCCTTTATTTTCAGTAAATTTTGGTTCTCCTTCGGCTACCGACATTGTCTTTTCCCGGCTGCCACCATGTAACAAGATTTGATCAACCTAGGAGTACTTTAAAGCAGTTTTAATCAGACGAGTACAAAGTATTAACTGCACCAAGATTTCACACTGAGTTCAACAACGTAGCAACAACGTTTTACATACGGGGCTTTTGTCACGCAACGCTGATATTGTCACATACACGTTACTACTAAATAGCAATTTGAGTATATATTATCAAGTTTTCAATCATTTTCGAAAGAAAAATCTTCGTAAGGTCAACTTTGTTGGCTATACGAATTACAAAAAACGGATAAACACTTAAAATAAGCTTTTCTTGTACATAACTTAAAACATTACTTTAGACTTCAAATGTGCAGCTATGACTTCTTTCTACCAATATTTCGCACTACATTTCGAGAGAATACATATTCAAATCCAACTCAAAACAAAATGGCGTCCTTCACGGCAATGTTTCGTCCAGGACTCTAGGCGCTTGGTCATGTTACGGATTGATTCTTTTTTAAGTCAGAAAATCATGCATTGCGCGCTTTCCGCTTTCACTATTTTAAGATGTGATATTGATAATAGCGGAGAAGATGAAATTATTTATTACACTTTTAGGGTCGATATCAGTGTGATAAAGCAGAGAATAAAACCATATATCAGTGAAGTGATGCCGCCATATGACCTCACGGTAGACTGTTAACTGTGAGTTTTGTTATGGTATCGACCCTAATTGTGTAATAAACAAATAATGTACAATTTTTTGTGATATTATACGGAAATTCGTGAAAAAAAACCATATCAAGCTCATACCATTTGATACTCTCTGATTTGACTTGAAGATGATGTCAGCGATAGTGATGGATATGTTTTTGCTATAATTACTCCCGTAATAGTTCTTGTTCGTTGGGAATCGTGCAACGAATAGTACAGGAGAAGTTACTTTATTTGATGTTTCTGTATCGAGCAAGAATTGCCAGCTTGTCCCTAATTATGCATCTCCAGGTATTTATCAACAACAACTTTTAGCCTGCAACATTTTTGAAATTAAACGTTTCCTATTCTTCAAATTTTATATTAATAGTTTAAACAATTTTTAATGGTAAATTTAATATTTCTATATCGCAAAACCCCTTAAAAATATWTTTTWAAAAATAAACGTTCTAATGCTCTAATATATGAAATAAATTCAAAGCTCTCAATATACTTATGCCAAGCCAGAAATATTAAATGTATTTTATGTTATATATATTTTGGTAGATTTTAAATGTGGGAAATATGAGTTCCAGTGCTATAGTGGCCCTTGTATAAGCAACAGTAGACGATGTGACGGCGACATAGACTGTATGGGCGGATCAGACGAAATAGGTTGCAAGTGCTTTACCACCCAGTTAGCCTGCGTCTCGGGAGAATGCGTAGATTCAAAGTATCTTTGTGATGGCACAAAACACTGCGGTGATGGATCAGATGAGAAAAGATGTGGTAAGTAGTATAGAAATGGATACTTTTCTTTTTTGTTTTGTTGTACTCCTTGCAAAAGCTATATAACTATCTCAGGCTATGTGCAATAATTTAGTTTTTTTTTTTTTTCCGTTTTTGTAAAGGTGTCGGAATATCACAATCTTAGCAAGTTGAGCTTGATATTTTTGCAATTGTAGATCATTTTCCTGCTGTGTAAACACGTGACTGATTTTGTTACAGTCATCTCCTGGTGCGCCACCTTGTTTGTTTGTTTGTTTGTTTGATTGACTTTTTGTTTTGTTTTT